CACATGTGATAAACAGACAAGAGTTTTTCAAATACCAACATATTTACAATATAAACAATCCCTACATGTATAATCACTGCTTATTGTTCAGCATGGCAAAGTTATATTATGAGAAAGGTACGTAACAAAAATCAGGGTTCAGGGCCAGAAAAAAGTATTTACACAAAGACAAAGAAAGTCAGTAACAGAATGGCTAAAGATGAAAAAAAACCACAAAAAACCCCCCCACAGCACCAACCCCTCTCCAAACTGTTATTAACATGATTTACAACAATTGCACTTACCAGTATGAACCCTGTCTTGATGGACTGCATCCAAATACATCCGCATTTCATTTGCATCTTTAAATGGTACCTTATCAATTGTCAGGAAGCTGGTATCCTTTAGTGTTAGCATCAGGCAGCAGAGTTTTCTACCATTTGGTCTTAAGGTCACAGTTTTAATGTTATGGCTTAGCTGAAAACAAGAAAGTGACTATAAACAAACATCAACTTTTAAAAGGCCAAAACGCTTACAAATTCAAACAAAACACTTCAAACAGAGAGGGTAAGAGGCACTTGCACCAAAATACTTCTCCTTGCTCCTTTTTGAGCAAACATTAAGCCTCACAGCATCGATGCAATCAGTGATCTTGGAAGCTGACAGAACTGAAAAGACAGTATCCTTATAGCTCAACGGTCCCTATATTGCTGGAAAAGCTTTCTGAAACTCTCGAGTGTGACATTTTTGAACGTAAAGGAGCAAAAATTTCATACAGTCCAATTTAGCTGTCTTGATACTTCCACAGCAAGTTTGAAATATAATTTAGGACGGGGAAAGTTTTAATCATTAAGTATAAACTTCTACTCACTTTACAATTTCCTCTCAGGGAAGACAGATTTGACTTAGCTTAAAAATTTTCTCAAGAGAGTGAGTCAATAAGGTCTATGTGCAACATTAATGACAAGTGGTGTCAAAACTTTCAGGGTTAGGGTCAAGCACAAGAATAATTTTAGGAATTTATGGTCCCTAATAATGCTGCTGCTATTTTATTATACCATTACTTAATTGTCACTTCATGCTAAGAAACGTACGAGAGCTGGCTGCTCAGTAAAGGCTTTATTATTCATGCAGGTTGAGAGCAATTCCTAAAGCAGAGGAAGCAAAAGAATCTCTCGCATCCGGAGGCTTTATGGAAGTTTGACAATCCATACCTAAGCATGCTCTCATTTCTCAGTTCCCTTGTCCCTTTTTGCTTAATTCTTCATTTTGCTGCTGCTTCTTTAGCCTTGCCTAAGACCAGGCAGTAGCTACACAGCGATCTCCGTGCCAGTATATTGCTGTACTCAATGCTTCAAGCAAGATGGGAAGCCACAGCCAAGGTCATCAGGCGGTACACAGGACAGGGCAAAACACTGCCCATCAGATTGGAGTCTCCTCCTAAAATGGCCTGATTTGCATACTGCCACACTACTGACTTAAATAACGAAGTTAGGCACACTAATTACACTTGAACGCCAAAGTTTCGCTATACATTGCTCTAGAACCTGCCTTGTCTCCTTCAAATTATTCACAAGTTTAAAAAATAAAAACAATTCATGATTTTGATTTCAATTTCTTCAGGCATATAAAAGACTGAGATAGTAACGGGCACTCCATGTCTGTCAGTGAGATGATTCCTGTTCCCTGCAGATATCTAGTTTCTTGGAAAGCCAATCTAGACAGAACAGCAGTTTATAAGAGGCTGGAAAATTACCTCAATTGGAAATTAATGGTTTATTTTGCTGGAAAAATTATGCTTCTGAAATACTTTGTGCTCAGTCCTTGTGTTTGGGCTTTTTTGGGGGAGGGTGGTTGTTTTGTTTTGATTTTCTGTGGGTGTGTTTCGGGTTTGTTTTAAATATAAGTTAAAAATATCTTCAAAGACCTAAGAATCAAAAAGCAGACTCCAAATTTTTCATCCTCTCCTAAAATACTGAGCCCAGTGCAAAGGGATTACAGTTACTTCACCGTCTCAGTGCAAAATAACCCATTCCAACTCAAAATGCTGTCATGAGAGGGCTCCATCCATGCTCTCCATGCACCTGTTATGCCCCAGTCAGCATCACAAAGTCTTGGGAGGTGGGGGTAAACAAAGTATTTCTCTAAATACTTATCTGGCATCTAAGACAACATAGTCAAAGCTCTGAAACATCAGTAAAATGTATCATAAGATGTTTGATGATGCACCAGTTACCGTAGAAAGAAATATAACCATCCAAATGTTCCCCTACAGAAGGGTAAAAAAAAGTGGGGAAATCACACAGCATTCTCCCAGTTGTCAAACTTGGGAGTTGGCAACTTGTCAAAAAAAAAAAAAAAAAAAGGGAAG